AAAAAAAAAAAAGAAAAAAGAAAACAAAAATCCCTTTGTACGGTTAGAATCATTTGAATGAAACGCGTCTTGAAGTTATGCGCGATCGATCGAAATTATAGTGCGAAGTTAGCGGCAAAAGAAATTGTAGGGCGAGCCACTTCAGAGGTGACAACTTTGGCAGAGGTGTAAATTATTCATTGCGGCCGTTCGAGAAGAGAGATTATTAAGGGAACCGCACAAACTGTCTACGATGACGATCATAAACTGCACAATACATGGGCCTGGTAAATGGCGTTTATAGCTGGCCTTCCGTGAAAGCACTCTACTTTTCTGTTTTCTCTATGAACCTGGCCGGGCTGATAGCCCTCGCTTTTGCCATCCTCTGGGCCGTACGATTCGAAAGAGGCTTTGGCGATTATCTGAACCTCATCACTCCAGGTTGGTCCTTACGCACAAAAACGTTTTTAAAGTTGATTGATGACGGTCCTATGGATACCTACTGGCTATCCTTAATCCCCTCGATACCGAGAAATTCCCATAGGAATTTTTTGAAACGTGGTATTAAAATATTATCTCGACTCTCTAACGATTTAGAATCGAACATCCTTGAGAATGCGTCATCCTTGGTTATCTATATGTCTATCTATTGGATTAACGATATCGTAAATGATAGCTTCACAAATACACCAATTAAAGATCGTGATTTTAAAAGTTATTAAAAAATTAAATAAAAAAAAAATGAAATAAAAAAATACACTAGACACGTGCAACGTGTGTGTAATCGAGAATTTAAAAATTCGTGTTCGTATATATATCGGTGTATATATACCATTGATTATATAAATAAAATGTGTATACAGTTTTGCTTGCCACTTTTTCTCGGATTATTTTCTCCTAATACGAAATTTTATGATTATGAATTTACAATTTTACATCAAAAGATTTTGTAATTGTATGGAATAAATATGAAAATATAATTGTACGAATACGATACAGAGAAATACGAAGTATATGTTTTGTCCACAAATCAAAGAAAGAAAATAAATGGAAAATTTAGTACCGGTGACGCCATCTCGCGTTTGGATCATCGAAGCTCCGATTTGTTACTAGAATAGCAGGATATGCGAGGAGGTATTCGTGACGTCACGCAGAAAGAGAGCGATCTTGCGCGAGAAGGATAGAAAAGATCAGCCATTATATCTCTCACTACTTCGAAAATTATATTGAAAATTAATTAATATTTAGTTTTTTAGTAAAAATTTTTGCATTTTTAAGCTTGCATTTCAATCTTAGAATCTGAAACAAGTTTCTGGTATAAATTTTAATGGAAAATAGTTTTCAATTAATTATTAATTATCGATTAATGCATCGTATACGGACTGATGTATCGATATGCGATATATTTTTCATTAATTTCATTATTATAAGATTTATTTATAAATATAAATGTATGTATCTCAAACATTGTTTCTTTCTTTATATTTATTTATAATTTTTATTTCGTAATTATCTTATTGTTTACACGAATAAATTAATTATTTATTATTCGATTATAGATTAAAAATTTGTGAACATTCTCTTTGATAATCATTAATAAATAATTAATAGAAAAGAATTTCCCGTTAAAATTTATATGAGAAAATTTTTCGAAGTTCTAACTTTGATATGTAAGCTTAAAAGTGCAAAAATTTTTCTTAATTTATCAATTATTAACAATTATTATGGCAAGTGTATCGATCGCAAATCCCCATTCCATAATATAAACATAAATTAAACAAAATTATTCACTTAAACGATAGCAAACTTATAAATAAAAATGATACGTGAAAATAGAGGAGAAATTAACGTTTCAGATGTATATATTCATATTTAAAAATAAATCTCATAGTAATGAAAAAATAAGAAAAATACGCATTGCGTATTAATGGCGTCGGTTCGATATAACGCTTTAATCGTTAATAAATAATTTATTAAAAAGAATTTCGAATTAAAATTAACACGAGAAACTTCTTTGAGATCTTAGTTTTAAGATGTAAGCTTAAAAGTGCAAAAATTTTTATTAAAAAATTAATTATTAATTAATTTTCAATGTAATGTTTTTGAAGTGGAGAGGGGGTATAGCGCCATGTTTTTTTTCTATCCTTCTCACAAATATCGTTCTCCTTCTCTGTGACGTCACGAATACCTCCTTGCATATCCTGCTATACTAGTAACGAATCAGAGCTTCGGTGATCCAAACGCGAGATGGCGTTGGTCGCAAAATTTTTTCAATTTTTACCTAACTTATCGACGAAATAAATTTCGTTAACGGTTCGACACTAATGGAAGAAGGACAGCAGAAATACTATAGTGTTCAGAAATATTTGTTCAAAAAGCATCGTAAAGGATATCTGTTCGTAAGAGTTCGAATGAAAGGCGTGAATAATACACGTGTATGCTTTAAATTAGACACGATTCGTACTAAAAAATTCTCCTATTTCTCGATAATGGTCATAAGATGAATTTTTTAGAATTCGCGTAACACATGTTCGTTTGTATGTGTGGGTTAACGTGCAGATCACGACGAGCAGGTGACGGTCACGTATGGACCGGAATAATACTCTCCACCGCCTTGTGCTGTTCTCCTGCCTATATCCTGGGAATCAAATGTTGGTTGTGCTTGAAATTAGAACCAACGAGGACCGATCTGGAGGATCGACATAAAGTCGACGATACGGTGGATCCTCAAGATATAAATCGACTTTTTTACTTCCACGTGGTTGCCTGTTTACTATCGGGATTTTTGGTAGCGATTTTAAATGCGACTTATTTGATTCTGTTGAGCGGATTCCAGCAAAAAAGTCGCTATGGCTTGATAGAAGCTATTGAGAAATACGGTATTGATATTGCCGTAAAGGCGAGGGTGGACGCTGTTCAAACTGAACTAGAATGTTGCGGAGATAACAATTACGAAGATTGGTTCCGAATTCCGTGGCTTAAACTATCGATGGAGGGACCAAAGGATGTGCAGAAAGGTCCTCGACTGGAAGGGCAGTGGGTATAATCGAACCAATTGTCGTTTAACCTTTCTCTTACTATCCAAATTATTTATTTCTTTTTCTCTTTTTCTTCCTAACTCTTTTCTTGTAATAAATTTCTCTTCTGTATTCCTAATATTTGAATGTCTCCTTCTTTAAATCGTGCGATAAAGATCAGCACCAGAGGAGCAAGAGGAAGAAACTTCCACGCCCGTAGACGTACCTTTTTCTTGTTGTTCCAATGACATTCCTAAACCTTGTATTCATCACGACATTTTGAACCCGAGTGCCGTGTACGATTACAATCCTAAACATTTGACCATTAGTACCAGTGGGTGTAGAACGAAGATTATAAATCGTGGTGATGTTATTCGAATATTCTTGACAGGATACCTTGTTCTTTTACTTGTT